AGGTATGTACTGTATGTGTGTAGGTAGGAAGGTATGTACTGTATGTGTGTAGGTAGGTAGGTATGTACTGTATGTAGGAAGGTAGGATTTTGCTTAAAAGTGTAGTTTCCTCAAATAATTGGGGCCAATGGGCCAAGTCACTCCTGGAAAATAGATTTTAAACGATTAAACAATGAGCAAAACAAGTAACTGTGTAGGGTAAAATACAATTATTTTACCTGCAAACATGGGTTTCAAGGTTAAAGTGTGTGAGCATCACGCATTAATGATTTTAACAAAGGCAATGGTTGGAAAAACACATGAGCAATAGTTTAAGATAAAGGTGATGTGTAAAACATTAGTAAAATTAGTAAAAACATTGGTATGTTCACGTTTGAGATTAATCTCATAATTATGACTTGGTATCCGATCATAAGGAGATGCTGCTCATGACGGAGCTCTTGTTACAACCAGATGCTAAATGTTATTTAAAGAAAATTTCTTATAATGAGGACTTGGATTTGATCTTTTATTTTACATCTGAATGGCAAAAACAGGCTCATTTGGTTCCACACGCTGAAAGCAGCTCCTTTTATCCTAATCATGTTTTTATTTGATAACTTTTACTTCACAATAGAGGTTCTCAGTAACGACACTGATGGATTTTTGAACATTATAATTCACTGATTTAACTTTGCATCAGCTGTAAGGTTCCTGATACGTTTTAGTGAAATGGTTTTCAAAACTCCCCTTTTTCGTTTTATTTTTTAGGTTATTTATTTACAGTGAAAACTAAAGAATGTGTGAAGTGAAAAGGAAGTTGAGCTGCTCCTTTAATAATCATCTTCTGTCTTTTTATGTCCCACCTCACTGCAGTATCCCAACCAAAGCAGGAAACTCATTACATGACTCCTGGACTGCCCTCAAGTGGCCAAACAGAGAATAATTCCTGTTTATAAACAGTTTTAGGCCCTTTTTTTGACAATTGTTCATGTTAAAATACTAGCGCCGATGGACACAAATGCGTATTATGTATTTTTAAAGAAAATTTATATTACTCTAGATGACATAGGAGGTATTTGCTTTTATAAAACTTTACACTTGATAAAAAATATATATTGGTAAAAAATACATAATACAACTCTAACAGGTAGCCAGTAAATACTATTTACATACTCTGTAAGTACTTTCCTGCATGTGTAAGTACAGTGTAACAAAGTCAGAAGTCAAGAGGACTCCTCAGGCCTGAGTTTTAAACCGGGCCTCGGGGTCATTTGACCCAAAGACAGCAGGAGGGTTAGTCTGCCATGGACGTGCGCACATGTGCACATTTGTGTCTGAATTTAAACATGAATATGTTCAAACTGTAAAAGTTAAAGTTCAATTTATTTTACAACCCAAACTAGGTAATATAAACAACACATCTGGTGTGTTTACTGTATCATAGAGTTCATGAAAATGGCAAAAAAAAAAAAATTAAAGTATTACTTCAACAACAACCAAGATAATTGGTAATGTTTTAACATCTGTTCATGAAAACAGGTCCAACTGTTTAGATAAGGTTCTGGTATGCGTCTGGGTGTTAATTGGCCTATTTTATTAAGTGTGAAGATATATTTTAAATATGTACGCAAAAAAATTATAGGACGATGTTTGAAACTGTAACTTTAATTTAATGAAATGTTATTTCAAATGCAATCCAACCCCAGACTGAGAAGTTTTGATTTAGAACAGGGCTATTCAACAAAACTGCTCTGGACATCCAGCGATTAAAATGTAAATATACCAAAGTTATCTGTTACCTTTTAAATTAATTTTATTCCATTGTATCACAAATGCAATAAAGAGAACCCAAACCCAGAACCCCACCCCCCAGAGAAAAAAAATCATTAAATAAACAAAAACATTTAATTTTTTTAATGTATTTATTTATTTTTTTATGACGTGGGCTCTGATTTAGAATATGAATTAAGCGTCAAGTTATACATTTTAGATCAAAAAAACTGCTACGAGATGAAGTTGCTTTCAAAATAAAAGCATAGACCGGAAGCGCGTACCGGGGCTTTTACGCTTGTAGCTCGCACCGGAAGTGCTGTTTTATTCGTTAGCTAACGAGCCGAACGTTGACGCTGGTGGATGCTGCTCCGCTTCAGCGGTGTTCGGTTGATGGTGGACCCGTTCTCCCGGTGAAAAACACCGAAGCTGTGCCCCGGTGAAAGATGCCTCATAGCGGCGTGTGAGCTGACCCAAACCCGCGGAGGATCCAGGGAGCGGGGGGGAGGGAGGGAGGAGAGAGCCAGCGTCTCCGGACGTTTTTTTTTTTTTTTTTTTTTTTTTGGAGGAAAAATAGCAGCAGGATGTTGCAAGTTTTAGCTTGTGGAGCTGTAGTTTTCCCCGGTCTTTTCCTCGCCTTCAGGAGGATTCTGCCGAGTGTGTTCAAGCGCTGGAACGATGCCGACGTGGTGCTGGTCAGCGAGAGGTAAAAAAATAAAAAAGTGCCGACTGTATTTCCTTACATAACGGTCAGAATGTTAGCTAAACGTCGGCTCCGCTGGTCAGGTGTAGCTAGTAGTAACGGTCGCGTGCAGTTAGTTAGCTAGGGTTGCACTTTATTATTTTAACCGGTCTTGCGCCTATATTTATTTCCAAATGAAAACGCACTATTTTTTTTTTTTAATGGGACACATCAGAACTGTGTCTAAACACAAGAAGCCTACATTTAAAGTGTAGTTTATGCATTTAAAATCTGTTAACGAAAATAGTGCACATAAACTGGGACTCGGTAAGGATTCTTAACTGGGTATTTCCCCTCATCTGGAATTATGTTTTATGCTGATTTACACACAGTAATTGATGTTTTTGTTGCTTTCAGGAGTTGAGAATAAGCCACAACTGATGTATGGTTTTGTTGGCTGGTGGGTGAAGGGTCAGGATGACTTGCTCACGTGTGTTCAGCTCAGTTCTGGGCTCATTTAGACCCTGCCAGTCTGGATAATCCTCTGAGCTCCAGTTAGAGCCCCAGTGCTGAGTTAGCTGTGCAGAGGAACAAACTGAACAACACTTCAGCTCATTTACTAAAGCTCGGCTGACGGAGAGCTGGGTGCAGTTGCATCCATGCCTAAAGGGTTGACACGCTGTTCAGTCTGTGTTTTCAGGTCCTCTGCAAGGATCGTTGTTGTACAAGTTAATGAAAACAAAACTTCTTGTGCCTTTGTGTTACTGAAAACAACTATACCCTCTAGGTGACCAATACCTGGTTATTGTTGTGTTTTAGAAGTTGTACCAATATTTGATCATGGGGTCTGCACTGTGGTGCAGAGGTTAGAGCTGTCGCGTTGCCTCTCACCGAGAAGATCGTAGGATTGTCTCCCAGCCGGCGGCCTTTCTGTGTGTACTTTACTCCCTGTACATGGGTTTTCTCCAGGTACTCTGGTTTCCTCCCATGGACCAAAAGCATCCATGTTGGGCTAACTGGTAACTAAATTGTCCCTAGGTGTGAAAGTGATCATAGTTGTTTGTTTCTGTGTCCCTGTGATGGGCTGTCTTTCGCACTGTGACCCCATGACCTGGAAAGAAAAAGCGAGTAAAGAAAATGGATGAATTTGGTCAAAAGCGAATGATAGTAAGCTTGTTAATTAGTACTTGTGACATATTTAATGTGGTGGTAGAGTGGTGACTTAGTAAAATCTTAGAGGTTATACTTTTTTTTTGTTTTTTATAAGGTTGTTGTGTGGAGTACTTTCAGATACCGGTAGTTTATTGAGACCAATCCTGTACGAAAAGGGAAGGTGCCATTGAGACAGAGTCGGAGATCAACCAAAGATCACCGACAGGTATTGCAATACTGAACAGCATACAGGAACTGGAAGTGGAACGTTTGAGGGAGGGACCCTGTTGGATGGTATGTTAAGTTCTCCGCCCTCCTGTAAACTTTTTTTAGGCGTTAACGTGTTGATTCACTCAAGTGGATGGTTTTAAAAATGCAGCTGTCTTGTGCAAAACTAGCTCCCCAGTCAACTATAGTTCAGTTGAAATTTGAGTCCCTGTTGTCTTGGAGAAAACTTTTAAGGGAACACCAAGACTACCACTACATTAAAATACTGAGTCAGAGTTGCATAAAATACATAAAAATGAGAAATATGCTCCAACTGAGTAAAGACCAGATTAGAAAAATAAAAACATGGATGAAGGTAAAATCCCATTTGGGCCATCATGCCAGTTCACATTATCTACAGTATGTGTGCCAGTGACTTGAATATTTTTGCTATCAGTCTAGTTTAGATTTCACATGAAATACTAACTAAGGAATAAAGAAAAGGGCTCAAATGTGCAGTTTTTGAACCTCGGCAGCAAAGGTTTAATTTCTGATTCAGGTCGTGTTGGAGCGAGTTGTGTATCCTCATGGGTCACAATATGGCAAAAGTAAGGCAAATTCCACATTAAATAATTTGACACCTTGTCACTTTTGAGACGGCCCTTTACTTTGTTACTCCATGCTGCTGACAGATGTGTCCCACCTCAGATCAGCTGTCCCAGCTCCACCAGTCAGATCCTAAAACTTTAACTGTTACACAGTGAAAACACCAGTTATGAAAGTGAAGGTTACGTGTCTTTTCCTGAGCAGACGATATAAAATTGGTGTGAGCCACTTGAACAAAAAATAGCTCTTAAAAATTAGACCGAAGAAAACTTTTTGTGTTCTAGAGACTGAACTGTGAACTCCTCGTGGGGTCACATTATCAGCAGCAGGGTGCTTGGAGCGATCAGCAGGACTGTAGTTTGAAATGTAGACTTTCTGTGTGGTGGGTTGGCTCACAGTTTTATGCAGACTCAAATTGTTTGGGGTATAAACACTAATGTCATGGGTGTTTAGCTGTTCTGGCAACAGAACCAGATACAGACTGGTGGTTTGGTAGGTGAACCTCTCTGTACAAGCAAAGCATAAAGTTGAGAATATGAAGGTAGAAAGGTTTATCCCCTCTGGATATTTTATGAAGGCCAGCTCAGATCCTTCACACGTCTTCTCTGACTTTTACCAGTTAGTTGGATGTTACAAAGCCAGTAATAGGAAACCCAACCAGCTCACCATATTCCCATTTTGTACTGCTCTTACTCAGCCCCAACTCTGCTCAGATCAGCCTCAGCACTTTAGGACCGGTTCTGGACGTTTGTCCAGAATTCAAAATCCTGCTAATGAACTTTTAATGAACTTTAGTTCACCGAGTGAGAGTTCTTCAGTGAGTAAACTCAAAGCAGTCTGCTCCTCAGATAAATGTTAAATTATTATTTTTAAATATGAATGTTTCTGTTAACTTATTTTATATATGATATTTCTGTTCACTGTCCCGAGACCTTCTGTTGTGACTTGGCACTATATAAATAAACTGAATTGAATTAAATCTGATGAACCAGATCCTACAAAAACATCTATATTTAAAATTCTATATTTTTCTTCTTCATTTCCTGTATTTGCACTCGTGTCTGCTTTTATTGTTCAATTTAGATATGTGGTTTTGTTTCTTGTATACAGATTTTATTTTAATGATTTAAAGTGTAATTCTTGTTTTGTGATTTGTTCATCTGTGGGTTAGAATAAAGTTGGAACTAAAGGCTGTAGTTCTTCTTTAAACATATTTGAGGGAAATATTCCTGAGAGATCCATTAATTTTGTCTTTTTATGATTTTTCAGCTGAGTTAACTTTAACAGATTATTTAATAAACGTGAAAACAGATTTCATGATAAAGCCGGCACCGTTTATTTATTTTATTTTTCACTGATTAAAAAAAAAATTATGTTTTACACATAAAATGTTTATTTAAAAAAGAAAAAAGTTTCCACCCTCTGTCCCGGACTCCCGGTCCTCCCGCCTGCCAGGGCTCGAAATCCGGCCTTTGTGAGCACGCGAGGCCGGGGCTTGAGGTCCGGCCTCGCGTGCTTCAACGGGTCGGCAGCTCATATGATCCTCCGCGGTGACACAGCTCGCTCGAATTTTGTCGTCTGTCACCAAACACAAAAAAACGCCTGGACTTCAACATTAAACACGGTGTTGTCATTATTGTTTTTCAAATCTTTAAAATGGATCCAGCCGCTGCGCCGCTTTCAGAGAAATTGCAAATGGCGGATCGGTGAAAAGTTTCTGACTTCCAGTGACTCCTCCCTCTGACCAGTGTCCTGCATTCACGTTTCGGTCCGGAGTCGTCTCGACTCTGCTCGCTCGGTCCCACCAGAGAAGCAGGGACAAAATAAGGTCCCGAATCAGCTAAAAAGTTCTGGTGCAAAAAGGATCTTTCTGTGGCGGGCTGAGCTGAGTTGGGGCTGAGTAGGAGCAGAGCAAAAGGGCCAATATAAATACATAAAATAAGAATCCTAATCACAAACATGATGTAATCAAAGGGGACATTTGTTTGGATCTACTTGGATTTCTAATATTTGACTTGCACTACTTTATATTTTTACTTTTCACTTGTACAAATGTTTTGTTTTTGAACTGAAGCTCCTTCTAGCTAAGAACAACTTCCACACATGGACAATAAAGTGTATTTGATTTATTTAATAACAAGGTCATGGCAGAGTGTATTCTGCTCCAGTTAAGATGCTCATGACTCATACGTGCTCCACACAATCCCAGTTAAAACAGAAATCCCCGTTCTATAATCTACAACAGCAGCTCCTTTAATTTGCACTGTTTAGCGTGACAGAATTACTTATTGCGTCTCTGCTCTCAGGTTAAAAGCTCATCACTTTAGCCGTCTTTGTTTAGCTTATTGAGGAATTTAACTGCATTTAAATAGTCTCAATGCAACTCATGAAATAAACTGGCACGGTACGATCACAGAAATATCTGTGGGGATAATATTGTTGGAAGCATTTTTGCACCACAAACACACCATACTTTAATATGAGCTGTTAGCCTCAGGCCGGGCTTTTGTTCTTACTTTAAATTCAGGTTGAATAAAGGTTTTGGTTAAGCAGGTAACATATCGTACCTATGAGGGAGTTTGAAACATTTGTGTGTTGCTACATCAATTCATGTTAAACAGCATTAAACATGTTTCCATATTGTGTTTCCATAAAAACACTTAAGTCTATCTTTAGTTCCTTTTTGTTTGGTTTGTAAACATGAATGGATGAGATTCTGTTGGCGATGGACACAAAATTCCTATTTCAAAGCAAGGCCAGAACAAGGTTACTTAGTTTTTGAAGATTTTAGTTCTGTTTATAAGTAGTTTACTGCAGTTTTACACCTCAACCACTCGTGTATTTCTACTTCACTCTTTAATTGGTATTACATTGTCAAGAAAGGCAGGGAATCCGTAATCCGAACTGGAACATCATGGCTACAGTCCCAGGTCATTCTTGGATACTTTATTATTTATGACAGGGTTTAGGTCAGATGGTAAACAGAAAACAGACAAATTGGATGATCTAAATGGGCTAGTTTCTGTTTACCCTCTGCTGCACTAAAAAGTGTTTAAATA